AGGAACCTGAGGGTTAAGGTCACATAATTCAGAAAAGGTGGTATCTTGGGGAGTGAGGAGGAGCTCTGGTGGTGCAGTGGTTAAAGCATTTGGTTGCTAATGAAAGGTCTTCAGTTTGAACCCACTCGTGCTTTGTGGGAGAAAGATGAGGCAGTGGCTTCCCTAAATACTAACACCCTTGGAAACCCTGGGGTGCAGTTCAACTTTGTCCTCTAGGGGCGCTGTGAGCCTGAATTGACTCCATGGCAACGCGTTTGGTTTGGGCTTTGCTCCCATAAAGACTGACAGCCTTGGAGACCCTGTGGGGCAGTTCCACTTTGTCCTCTAGGGGCGCTGTGGGTCAGAATGGACTCCATGGCAGTGGGTGTGGTTTGGGCTTTGCTTCTGTGAAGATTGACAGCCTCAGAGACCCTGTGGGCAGTTCCACTCTGTCCTTAGGGGCGCTGTGAGTCAGAATTGCCTGGATGGCAGTGGTTAGAGAGAGTGAAACCAGGTGGTGGAGGCGGCCAGGGTCTGCTTAGGAGAGTGAGTCAATCCTGGTGGGGAGTAGAAGGAAAAGTCTCCTCCTTCGAAGGCTGAGGGCATAAGTGGCCAGATGATGTTGCTAGGGGGGAATGAGTCTGGGTACCTAGACTATGGAAATGGCTAGGGCTGGTCTCTTAGATTTGTGGGCTGTGTGGGTCTCTTGGGGGTGTGAGGGAGCTGCTACTGAGGTCAGAGTTCCCGGGGTCACTGGGTCAGTGGGGGAGTGGACTGAGGGATTGGGGAATTAGGGGTTGAGTCTCTGTGAGGGTGGGACCCTGAAGGGAGGCACACAGGGTCTTACAGATTGGCAGGACCCACTCTGTTCAACCAGTTCCCCTTCTTTCATCCTCAGGGGGCCACCCTGGTCCATCACACGTGTCAGGCTGAAGGGGAGTGAAGCTCTGTGAGCCCAAGAACACGGGTGAAGAGAAGACACAGGAAGGTAGCCAACACCCCCTCCCCACTGCCCCCCATCTGTCCCCTCAGCCCTAGGTCAGGAGCACCCTTTAGAATCCAATACCCCTTGCCACTGAAGATGAGGAATGGAAGAGTAGGGGCTGGCTGGGAGGCAGTTTTCCACGGGGCATCTCCAGCCTCTGGCTTCCATCCCCAGCACTCACCGTAGTCCTGCTGGCAGTACCTCCGGAGGCCCATGTGCACCCTGGTGACCGAGACGTTGCAGTAGTTTCCACACTGAGGGTCTAGGGAGGGTCAGGCTGTGTGCAGCGGCTCCTGAGGCCTGGACCACAGTGTGCCGCCCTGCCTATCCTGCAGTCCATCTTTTTTTTAATTTGTAAAATACATTTTATTGAAATATAATTTACATACAGAGAAATGCACAAAACTAAAGTGACATGGGTCACTGCACCTGCAGACCATCTTGAAGGAGAGCTGGCACAGCCTTGTCACTGGGCTCACTGGGCCACCCCCGAGCCCCGCCATGGGAGCCCAGCCTGCCCACCCCCCATCCCTCTTGCTGCCCAGGGCACAGCACCCTGGCCCATCTTACCAGAGCTGTAAGCACCAGGGGTTGTGGCAAGAGTTGTCGTTGCCTCTGGGACACCTGGGTGTGAGGGGGGGAGCGGGGATGAAGGAGCATTAGGGCAAACCCTGAGTTCTCACCCACCCTCCCTGAGGAATCGGGGCAGCCAGGTCTAAAGCGGCTGTTCCCTTCAGGCCCAAGAGTAGGGTCGCTCGGTTCTCTCGTCCCCCAGGAGCTGGAGACCGAGGCCCCAGCCCCTCCACGCTCAGGCCCAGGAGTCCAGGCCCCCAGCCCTCCTCCCTCAGACCCAGGATTCTGGACCCCATCTGCCCTGGACTGCAGAGCCTGGAATTCCAAACCCCTCCTTCCTGAGGACCCTGAGTTCAGCCTCCAGCCCCTGAGGGATGTCTTGCTCCCGCCCCACTCAGGACCGATGGCCCTACCCCTCAGTACTCACGCTGGCAGGGCATCCTGGGGGAGCGGCTCTGCTGGTAGCCAGGGCCACAGCGGTTGCACCTCAGGCCCGTGACCCCCAACTTGCAGGAGCACTGCCCACTGGTCTGGTTGCAGATGCCACCTGTTGCCCCAATAGGGTGGCACTGGCAGGCTACACGAGGAGAGGAGCTGGGGGTGTGGGGTGTCTGCGTCCAGATGCTCCCTCCCAATTCCCAGCCCCTCCTCCCTCAGACCCAGGAGCCCAGGCCCCCAGTTCCCCAGCCCCGTCCTCCCTCAAACCCACAGGAATGCAGGCCCCCCAGCCCCTCCTCCCTGGGACCCAGGAGCCCTGGACCCCAGCCCCCTCCTCCCTCGGAGCCGGTAGTCCAGGCCCCTAGGCCCTCCTCCCTCAGACCTCCAGTCCCCTGCCCCAGACCTAGGCCCCCAGTCCGGCCTCATTTCCCCCTCAGACCTGGCTGGCCACACTTACTGCGGCAGGCCTTGCGGCTGGTGATAGGCTGGCTGGGGTCCCTCCAGAACCCTGGCTGGCAGTAGTGGCAGTGCCGCCCGGCTGTGTGGTGGCGGCACCGCTCGCAGACACCCCCGCTCCGGCCACCGGACAGCCTGAAGAGCTCAGCGTTGAAGCGGCAGCGGCGGGCATGCTGGTTGCAGGAGCAGCCTGGGAGTGAGGGTAGGCAGGGACCCGTCAGACCGGCCCTCCTGGCCGACCCCCCCAGCCCTCCCCAGCTGCCTTCAGAAAGGCAACAAAGGGAGGGCGTGATGTAGAAGGGCTGGCCTGGGGTGCCAGGGTACATCTGGGGCCAGGACCTCTTCATTCTCATCTTTAAAGTGGGTGCAGTGTCCTAACCAGTGGGCATGAGAAGCGGAGTCAGGTTCAGACTGTGAGGGCCCGGAGCCTGCCTCTCCTGTGTGTTTCTTGGGCGAGTGAAGTTATTTCCTGAGCTGCTGTCTGCGGTAAAGGGCAATCTGTAGTATGTATTTCCTGAGGATTAAACCCAACCCACTGCATGGAGTCCATTCCAACTCACAGCGCCCCTAGAGGACAGAGTGGAACTGCCCCACAGGGTTTCCAGGGTCGTAATCTTTCCAGCGGAAGGAAGATGGGGCAATCTACTTCCATAGTGATACTGCCTCGGAAACCCAAGGAGGGGTCGCTATGAGTCGGGTCCGACTAAATGGCACACAACAACAACAATCTTTCCAGAGCTCTGGTGGCGTAGTGCCTAAGGCA